GGAGTGAGGGGCCGGGACCCAGGGCAAAGGGACCCGTCAGGGCGATTCGGGGTGCTCACTGCCGTCGCTCTCGCACGCAGTGCGCTGCCCGTAACCACAGCAGTGCATCCACCGCTACCATTTGCACATGACAGCCAACCTAAGTACATCCCGGGGTCAGCGCAAGTACACAGGCAGCTCCCCTCGACTGGCAATATACACATTTTTTCTCAAACCGCAGCCATGTGGGAGCCCAGTGCGTTAAGCACCACATCACTCGCTGTTCCATATCATATTACTTGATCTTTATGCCAGAACAAAATGGGACAAAATAAACACACCCACCAAAATAAGGACAAAACAACCAAAACTTAGGAAGACACTTTTTTTTTTTTTTTTTGAGAGGTTTTTGCTATAGGGTGCATGCACTCGCCAGAAAGACAGAAAGAAACAGACAGAAAGCGAGAAATCACCCCCCAGGGGGCATGGCCACACCACAAAACACCCTCCTCCATTCTCTTCTCAGGATCTTGGGCACGCATGCATATGCACCCGGTGTGAGTTTAAGCCACCGGGTCCGGGACTCGAACCACGATTGACTACATGGGAGTCCAGCGACATAACCATGCTAACTGTTGGTCCCGGAAAATATGTCTTAAGCAGACATATAGCAAAAGAAATAATAAAGGGTGTTCTTCAGTCAAAGGAAAATTGACTTTCAGAAGAAACTTGGAAATTCAGGAACTAATTACGAGCAATGGTAATGTTAACGACATGGGATAAATCAAAATAAATTGACTCAGAGAATATTATAATATACTTCCTGTGTATATTAAAATATATGACAACCCTAATATTGGGCAGCAGGTAGTAAATGAAGCTAACGTGTGCCAAGGTCTAGCATTATCAGGGAAGTGGCCAAAGTAATCATTGTTATTAGACTGTCATAAACCAGGATACATTTAGTAATTCCCAGATTAGCTAGTAAAGTAGCAGAAATACAATAAAAAACAAAGGATTTCTTATAAGTTGGTCAGGGGGAAAACAGATTGATTAAAAAAAAATTATGTACCAAAAAAAGGCAGGTCTTTGAGAAAATAGAATTTGTTTCATAAAGCTAGAGAAATGTTGACAAAATCTCCTGAGAAGGCGCAAAAGGAAAGGCAAAGTGGAGACTAATCTCTTTCATAAACTGTGCCAGAAATCGTAGCAATGGGAATTTAATGATGGGGAAAAATATAATCTATATGGCCAAATGTGGTTTATTTCAGTAATGCAAAAAGTTTTAGTACTCAAAAAAAAAAAAAAAGTAACTTACTACATAAATACAAAATAAGGAAGAAAGGTAATTACTTCAACAGATAAAGAAAAATCACTTGATAAAATATAATGCCTATCTGTGATTAAAAAAAAATCTCTTATCAAATGAGGAACATAAAACAACTTCCTTAAAATAATAAAGAGATTATTAGTGAGTCGTTAATTGTTTTCCAAAGGCAATGAGGAGAAGAATGCTTCTATCATAATGTCCAGTCATCCTTGACCTTGAAGTCCTAACCATGGCAATAAGATAAGGAAATGATGATTAGAAAGAAGGAAAACTGTCATTTTTCTTTTCTTTTCTTTTTTTGGTTTAATAGGTAATAATGCAAAAGAACTTTATTCTTGGCCCAACATTTACCTCTTGTCATATTTTTTTCTTCTACCATTCCTTTTTTTTTCCCTACCATTCTTTTTTTTTTCTTTTTGGAAAGTTTTTTTTTTCTTTTTTTTTCACTATAGGGCTGTGCGCTCACCAGAAAGACAGAGAAATAGAAAGTGAGAAATCACCTCCCAGGGTGGATGGCCACACCATGATCCCTTCTCCATTCTCCTCTTGGGATCTTGGGCATGCACGCACACGCGTCTGGCGTGAGTTTAAGCCACTGGGTCTGGGACTCGACCCATGGTCGACTACATGGGAGTCCAGCGACATAGCCATTACGCTAACTGCTGGTCCCCCTCTTTAAATTTTTTATTTCAATTTCTTTTATACATTCAATCACATGTTACTTAGCTTGCAAAGTGAATATTCCAACATGTGTACATTTCTCTCCAGTTTAGTTAACAATACTATAAAGTTATCTTCAATAGATAATAACCCATTTCTTTGTCCCATAAATGACTTGCCTCTCTATTTTTCTCCTTAATGTCCTTCAGACTCTAGTCCTTCACTTGCCCTCTTCCCATACTGTATTTGGTATTCACAACCATTTACTATGTTTCTATATCCTTTAGTCATTCCTTTTCTACCATAGAGTGCGGACACTCAGTATATATTAAGTAGAGATATACAATGTCTCTTCTTCATAGCCTGGCTTGCTTCACTCAGCAGTAATTCTTCCATATTCATCCACTTTTGGTCAAAAGTCAGAGTCTTCTTGTTTTTTTGTTTTTTTTTTTATGACTGACTGGTATTCCATAGAGTATATGTGCCACACTTTTTCAATCCATTCATCTGTTCGTGGGCATTTGGGTTGGTTCCATGTCTTAGCAATTGTGAATAATGCCACAATAAACATCAAAGTGCAAGCACTTGTCTGATTAAGAATTCTGATTTTTGGGTAGATACCAAGGAGTGGAATTGCTAGATCATATGGTAGTTCTATTTATAGATCTTTGAGGAATCTCCAAAGTGTTGTCCACAATGGCTAGACCAATTTACATTCCCACCAGCAGTGTAGGAGAGTTCCCCTTTCACTAAAGCCCCACCAGCACTTATAATTTTTTTTTTTGTTTTTAGTCTTAGTCATTCTGGCTGGGGTTAGGTGGTATCTCATTGTGGTTTTGATCTCCATCTCCCTTACAATGAGAAATGTTGAGCATTTTTTCATATGCTTTTTGGCTATTTGTATGTCTTCCTTAGAGAGTGATTTTTTTCAACTCATTCTCCCATCTTTTAATAGGGTTGATCATCTTTTTTCAGGATAGCTGCTTGAGTTCTTTGTGTATTCTGGTTAACAATTCCTTATCTGACGCATAGTTTACAAAAATATTTTCCCATTCTGAGGGCTGTTGATTCACACTATTTAATCACACACAGACATATTGAAAATGGCACAGGCCGGGACTAGCAGATGGCATAATGGTTATATTGCTGGACTCCTATGTAGTCGACCATGGTTCACGTCCCAGACCCAGTGGCTTAAGCCTCACGCCAAGCACATATGCATGTGTGCCCAAGATCCCTAAAAGATGATGGAGCAGAAGGGACTGCAATACGGCCATCCTCCCTGTGGAATGATTTCTTGCTTTCTATTTCTCTTTCTCTCTCTGTCTCTCCAGCAAACACTGTGCCCTATAGCAAAAATGTCTCTCTCAAAAGAAGAAAATGGGAGACCAGCAGTTAGCGTAATGGCTATGTCGCTGGACTCCCACATAGTCGACTGCGGTTTGAGTTCCGGACCCGGCGGCTTAAACTCACGCCAGGCGCGTGTATGTGCGTGCCCAAGATCCTAAGGGGAGAATGGAGGAGAAGGGATTGTGGCGTGGCCATCACCCCTGGGGGGGGTGATTTCTCGCTTTCTATCTCTCTGTCTCTCTCTGTATTTCTGGCGAGCGCACGTACCCTGTAGCAAAAATCTCTCCAAAAAGAAAAAAAAAAAAGAAAGAAAAAGAAAATGGCACAGGCCTGGCCCCATAGCTCAACAGTTAATGGAGCTAGATCTCACATGGTAGACCACAGTTTGAATCCTGGCTCTTGCAACTTGAAAAGCCAGACACATGCATGCCCAGGATCGTTGACAGGAGGGATGAATGGAGGAAAAAGGGACTGTGGCATGACCACACCTATTGGAGGGTGCTTTCTCCCTCTCTCTCTCTCTGTTGAGTACACATTCTCTCCAGCAATTAAAAAATAAATCTAGGGACAGCAGTTAGCGTAATGACTATGTCACTGGACTCCCATGTAGTCGACCGCGGTTTGCGTCCCAGACCTGGTGGCTTAAAACTCACGCCAGGCGCGTGTGCATGTGTGCCCAAGATCCCGAGAGGAGAATGGAGGAGAAGGGATTGCGGCATGGCCATCCCTCCGGGGGGTGATTTCTCGCTTTCTGTCTCTCTCTCTCTCTGTCTGGTGAGCGTACGCGCCCTATAGCAAAAACCTCTAAAAATAAATAAATAAATAAAAATTAAAAAAATAAAAATAAAAATCTAGGGACCAGCAGTTAGCATAATGGCTATGTTGCTGGATTTCCATGTAGTCGACCACAGTTCGAGTCCTGGACCCAGTGGCTTAAACTCATGCTGGGTCGGTGCGTGTGTGCTCAAGATCCCAAGAAGAAAATGGAGAAGAAGGGATTGTGGCATGGCCATCCCCCCTGGGGTGTGATTTCTTGCTTTCTGTTTCTCTGTCTGACTTTCTGGTGAGCACGCACCCTAGAGCAAAAACCTCTCAAAAAAAAAAAAAAAATTGAAAATGGCCTGTTGCATAAAATACAAGGGAACTTCAAAGAAATGGTGAAAATGGAATTGAAATATGAATGTATTTTGGTGCAAAAATATTTAAAATGCCCGCACAGTTTTTTAAATAATATACTTTCCACAAACTCTTTGAAGACCTCTCCCATATATAAAGGTGGGAAAAAATGTCCTATTCTTGCATTTCATGAGATGGTTCTGCTCAGATCCTTCATCCTCAGCCCCTTTCCCTGTCACTGACCCAGTTTTCTGGAACACTGTCTGTACTCTTCCTGAGTAATGATGATGCAGCATTTTTAAAGCCGCATCTGATGTTATTTTTATCTTAAGACACAAGTGTCCATTCACACGTGAGGACAGCTGTCTTGTTCATTCAAGTCACTGTGGTCTCCACAGCAAAACAGCTCACCTTTTCTTTTTTTGGTCTTTGCTATAGGGTGTGCACTAGCCAAAGAGAAAGACAGAGACAGAGAGAGAGAAATCACCCCCTGGGGAAATGGCCACACCACTATCCCTTCTCCTCCATTATCCTCCTAGGATGTGGGGCAAGCATGCATATGCGCCTGGCATGATTTTCAAACCACTGGATCTGGGACTCAAACCACACAGTTGGCTACGTGGAACCGAGCCACCTTAACCACCATGCCCTCTTGGGAACCAGCAGTTAGCGTAATGGCTATGTCGCTGGACTCCCACGTAGTCGACCGCGGTTCGTGTCCCAGACCCGGTGGCTTAAAACTCACACCGGGCGGAACCAGCAGTTAGCGTAATGGCTATGTCGCTGGACTCCCACGTAGTCGACCGCGGTTCGCGTCCCGGACCCGGTGGCTTAAAACTCACGCCGGGCGCGTGTGCGTGTGTGCCCAAGATCCCAAGAGGAGAATGGAGGAGAAGGGATTGCGGCATGGCCATCCCCCTGGGGGTGATTTCTCGCTTTCTGTCTCTATGTCTCTGTCTGTCTGGCAAGCGCACACGCCCTATAGCGAAAATCTCTCAGAAAAACAAAACAAAACAAAACAACAAACCACCCTGCCCTCTGACTGGCCCACAGCTTACCATCCTCTTCATTTATACCTATCTGGTACTTACACTGCACATGAGAATCTGTACTTGGCTATTTTTTGCTTAAGCCCTGTCTGGAAGACTTCCATATCCACACCCACATATCAGCTTTGTGCTTTTCTTTCTTTCTTTTCTTTTTTTTTTTTTTTAAGTTTATTCATCTATTCCATGAGAGAGAGAGAAAGACCCCAACAGGATTCCCATGCTGGGACCACTCTAGCCTCAGCCCTCCTGACTCATGGGCACACATGTGTGCACCCACGATGCACAGGGAGGCTCTAGGACACAAATCTGGGACCTCCCCAGTGTCGCTGCTGCACCACTGGCTGGCTGCCTCTTCATGCTTTTAAAAGTGGAGTCTTGGGTCAGTCAGTGGCATAGTTATTAAGGCGCTGGATCCCAAATGGCCAACTGCACGATTGAAATCCTGGACCCGGCAGCCTGAAAAACATGCCAGGGGCACATTTGTGCGTGCTGAAAAAATCCCGAGAGGAGAGTGGAGGAGAAAGGATTGCCATGTGGTCTTCTCCCCTGGGTGGTGCTTTCTCACTTTCTCTCTCTCTCTCTGGTGATAGCTCAGGCACTATAGCAAGGTAAAGAACGGAAGAAAGCATTGTTTGAGGGGAACATGCTGATTTTTAATGGGAGATCCTGAGCAGCATTCCTGAGCTGGGAGCCCTCCATGAGGCCACACCCCAGCAAGGGCGTGGACTTGGGGGCCAAGGGCGGAGCCCCAGCCTGGGTTCTCGGGCTGAGCTCTGCACCTCGAAGTGGGGCCATCACATTCACTCCGAGGAAGCAGTTCCTCCCAGTTGCACCGACACGCTGTGTGGCCAGGACCATGTTGCACTGGTGACGTTTCAATCAGTGACACAATCTTTTGAGACAAAAAGTGAACGAAGGTTTAAAAATCAGGAAATTTCACATGAAAGCCCAGACTTCTAGCTCCTCCTGACACAGCTGGGTGGCTTTCCCGCTGAAAGCTGTTGAGTGGAGTTGAGCTACCACCATGCCATCATATATAAATATTTCTTCCTTGAGAAAGAGACAGACAGACAGACAGACACCCCCAACAGAGTCCCCACGTTGCAGTCCATCCCCAGTGTCAGCCAGCGCAAACCCTGTGCACCACCTGGTGTGCTTGGGGAGGCTCTGGGACTCACCTAGGACCTAGGTCATCTACAAAACAGACCCTAATAAGAACCCTGACTGCTAGAAGTGCTGCAACCAGAGCAGGCCTCCTGATGCACGTACGCTCGTACCTGGCCAGGGCTGACACGGACAGCTGTGCAGGTGGGGCAGGGATGGCGCATCTGAGGGGCCCCCTTACCACGGAGACACTAGATTGTGCATTATTTCAACACTTTTCTTATTTGCCATAGGGCGGGCGCCACCACGCCCATTTCAGCACGTTTCTGACAGGGGGTAATAAAGTATCTAGCTCTAACAAAACACCTCCAGAAAATGTAAAAGTGACCCGGATTCACAGAAAAATGCCTCATGGGCTGTGGTGCAGTGGGCTGGTCCTCACAGACATTGGCGTTTATTTGGGCCCCTGCCTTTAAGGGGCCGTGACTTTCACACCGTTAGTGACACTGTTGGGGACAGGCAGTCTTCAGACACACCCTGCCACTTGCTTCCCTCTTCCTCCTCACAAGCCCACTTGCTTCTCCTGTCTCGAAGCTTCCGCTCCCCGCTCTGCCTCTCGCCCATGAGGGGGTGGTTCACTTCTGATCGCACCCCATCTCCCTCCAGAACATAGACACCCTGGAACGAGTGGCGGGGCTGGAGCCCGAGGACCTGGTGGAGGCCCACGGCACCTTCTACACGTCGCACTGTGTCAGCCCCCTGTGCCGGAGAGAGTACACACTCGATTGGATGAAAGGTGAGGAACAGGCTCACCTGCCAGGCCTCTGCGCCAGGAGCCGGCTGCTCACAGCAGGCACTCGTCCATCCTGCTCAGCTCCGTGGCGCCTCTTTTTAAGTTTATTTATTAATATTTCTTTCATGAGAAAGAGGTAAGGGGAACAGGTACCCCAGCAGGGTGTTCTTGCCACAGTCACCCCAGTCTCAACTGGCCTGGATCAGGGCATGTGGGCATTACCCAGCATGCTCAAGGAAGCCCCAGGACACAAACCCAGGACCTTCCCCGGCCAGTCCAGGGTAACCGCTGCACCTCCGCCTGGCCCTCTAGCTCTTCTTAGTAGTTAACGGTAGCCCTCAAGCATCTGGGCAAGACAAGTCATTTTTCCCCACCTCACAACCAGATCGTGTGGGTACAGGCTCCAGACCAGGCCTACCTGGTCAGACAGCCTGTGCTGGGAGCTCAGACTACCCCAGCTCTGGTCCTCGTGAGTGCTCTGCACCCCTCTTACACGAAAGACTCGTTGAGGCACAAGCGATCCCATTCTCAGAAGAGCAGCAGTGGGGCCAGCTGGTAGCATGGTGGTTAAAGAGACTGGATTCCACATGATCAGCTCCACAGTTCGAGTCCTGGACCTGGCACCTTGAAAATGTTCAGGAAGGACTAGCGGATGGCGTAGCAGTTACATCACTGGGCTTCCACATAGTTGGCCATGGTTCAAGTCCCAGACCTAGCGGCTTAAAATTCTCTCCGGGCACGTATGCATGCAAGCCCAAATTCCCAAGAGGAATGGAGGAGAAGGAATTTACAGCATGGACATCCCCCATGCAGGGTGATTCCTCTCTTTCTGTCTGTCTGTCTCTCTCTGTCTCTCTGGCAAGCACACGTGCCCTATAGCAAAAATCTCCCCCCCAAAAAAGAAAAAGAAAATGTGTGGGGAGCATATGTGTGTCCAAAATCCCAGAAGGAGAGGGAAAAGGAGAAGGAATTGTGGTGTGACCATCCTCCATGGAGGTGCTTTCTCACTTTCCCTCTCTCTCTGTCTCTGTGTCTCTCTCTGGGGAACACATGCACCCTCTAGAAAATTTCTTAAAAGAAGAAGGCAGGCAATGTAGCATGTCCGAGTTATGGAAGTCACGTGTGGCTTTGACTATGTATTGGCCAGCACAGGCAGAATCTACAGTGTTGAGCTGGACCCGAGCCGGATAGGGATGAAGGCTGGGAGCTGTCCTTAGGAGGACAACAGGGCTTGCTAGAGGCCTAGTCCCTGTTCATGTGAGGACAGGAAAAAAGGAAAACAGGGAAAAAAAAAAAAAGGCAGAGAAACCAGCCATGCACATATCTTGAATGCCGGGGGGGCTAGTTCTGACATCCATTGTGCTGGCTAAGAACCACTTATTTCACCCATGGGGACCCATTTCTGACATTCTTTATGCCAATTTAACAAAGCCTCTGGTGTCTGTGTGAGGTAAGGACAGCTGCGGCATTTGTAGTAGGGCTGCGGAGGGTGGCTTTTCTGGTCAAATGCCAGCTGACCGCCCCTGGGCCGAGGGCTCCTGAATAGCCCACTGCACGCAGCTGGGGGTTCTATACAATTGACATTACCCCCATTATGTCTGGCGCACAGCAGCCGCGCACGCGCTCACAAACCACCACGCTGTCGATACAGAAGTGCCTTAAATGAGTTTCAGATACGAAGACAGTGCTCTGTAAATGTTTGTTGACTGAATGAATAAACGAATGATTACATGGGTAAGCTGGGATTCTGAGGTTGCAGGTGACAGAAACGTTTTCAGGCTTCCTAATCAATAGCAACAAGGAGGGATGATTGTCATAGGCTGGTGTGAGGCGGGGTCTGTCACAAACCCAAGGGTAGGAAGCAGCTGGTCCTAAGGTTTTGTCCCCATCCCAGGGTCATGTGTGCATTCTTCCCTCCCTCTACCACCAGGCTGGGGAGTCAATCACCAGGCCTCTCTGGTCTAGGGGGAAACAGGGCTACCCTCCGAGACTCAGAGGCCCAGCCATGTGGACCCTGCTCCTGGGCAGGCTGAGGCCACCCGAGTGTGATCCCAGCCCACCCTAAGGAGAGCCGAGCGCAGTGGTATGCCCGTACCCAGCTACTCGGAGGCTCAGGCAGAAGGATCATGACCAAGAAAAAACACCCTTGGGAAGAACTTTATCCCTGAGTCCAGACAGCCCAGGTGGGAGGGAGAGGGATCCAGCTGTCCCTGCTAGGGGCAAGTATCTGCCCATTCATTCATTCACCTGTCTCCTGTTTCATTCAGTAGTTTGGACAGTGGTGCTGAGAGCCACCTCTGGAAACCTGGGAGTGGAGGGAGAGCTCTCTTAAGAAAGGGGGTCTTGGGATCAGCAGTTAGCGTAATGGCTATGTCGCTGGACTCCCACGTAGTCGACCGCGGTTCGCGTCCCGGACCCGGTGGCTTAAAACTCACACCGGGCGTGTGTGCGTGCGTGCCCAAGATCCCGAGAGGAGTAATGGAGGAGAAGGGATTGCGGTGTGACCATCCCCTCTGGGGGGTGATTTCTCGCTTTCTGTCTCTCTGTCTCTCTCTGTCTGTCTGGCGAGCGCACGCGCCCTATAGCAAAATGCTCTCAAAAAAAAAAAAAAAGAAAAGGGGTCTTTCCTGAGCAGTGTGGACACCCCAGGAAATTCCCCAATGACTGAGGGGTATTTATATTGACAGTGGAAGAAGGGGTGGGGGGCCAGGCCAGACAGTACCCAGAGCCCAGCTCGGGCCTCTTACTGCCTTCTCTGCCTCCCCTTCCTCCCGCCCAGAGAAGATCTTCTCCGAGGTGACTCCAAAGTGCGAGAAATGTCAGAGCGTGGTGAAGCCTGGTGAGCTTTGTGGCCAGGGGCCTGCAGAGGTGGACATGGGATGGGCCTTCCTCCTCCCACTGACCCTCTCCCAAGGACCACCTCTGTCCCTCTAACCTGATCCCCAGATCTGTCCTGGGGAGAGCGGAGCTCTGTGTCCCCACCACTGTCCTACCCCAGCCCTCAGGTTTGCCTCTACTCTTGCCTATTTTCTCTGTCTCCCCATGTCACTGTCTCTGTCTCTGTCCACCTGTCTCCACCTCAGACATCGTGTTTTTCGGGGAGAACCTTCCAGCGCGTTTCTTCTCCTGCATGCAGTCAGTAAGTGCTCCCAGGCCGCTGTACCCAAGCTCAGCCCACATGGGGCAGCTGGACCGTGGCCTGGGGAAGGTGACCTGTGGGTGTGGGTGACCCAGGACAGGGTGGCGGAGGGCAGCCCAGCCTGGGCAAGGTCCCCAGCCCTGACCAGCCACGTCCTGCAGGACTTCCAGAAGGTGGACCTGCTTATCATCATGGGCACCTCTCTGCAGGTGCAGCCCTTTGCATCCCTCATCGGCAAGTAGGTCGGGGCTGGAGCTGGGGGGCCGGGCCTGGGGGAGCAGGACAGACCCTGACCATTGAGTTTGCCTCCCTCAGGGCCCCCCTCAGTACCCCACGCCTGCTCATCAACAAGGAGAAGACCGGCCAGGTGAGTGAGCCTGGCTCGCCCTCATCCCGCCTCTCCTCCCCCACGACTTCCTGGGGAACTAGGGCAGGTCTCAGGGGGTCCCAGCTGGGGAATCCTGGGACTTTGGCCTCTACAGTTTAGACCCTGGGGTTCAGCTCCTGGGCTATCCTCTCAGGCCTCTACGTCACTTGGGACTCTCTTGAACAACTGACAGAAAAGCAATGACATGTGTCCTGGGACTGAAGGGTCAGGCCTTGTCAGAGGAAGCTCGGCCGGACCCGGGGCCTCCCATGGTGCCCTCAGGTCTGTCCTCTCCCTCTACTGGGAACCCCCTGCTGGGAGGTGCCCTCCTGGGGAAGGTGTTCCCCTCCTGGGGAAATAAATAATTCTTGAGAACCAGCAGTTAGTGTAATGGCTATGTCGCTGGACTCCCACGTAGTCGACCGCGGTTCACGTCCCGGACCTGGTGGCTTAAATCTCACGCCAGGCGCATGTGCATGCATGCCCAAGATCCCGAGAGGAGAATGGAGGAGAAGGGATTGCGGTGTGACCATCCCCCCTGGGGGGTGATTTCTCGCTTTCTGTCTCTATGTCTCTCTCTGTCTGTCTGGTGAGCGCACGCGCCCTATAGCAAAAAACCTCTCCAAAAATAATAATAATAACTCTTTAAAAAAAAAAATTAACCTACTGATGCCACAACACTGTCCACGCCCTGTGACTGTCCTCATTTTGCAAATAAGGAAACTGGGCAGAGAGAGGCCAAGTCACTTGACCCAGGTCACAAAGCTGGGAGACAAAGCCAAGCCGTTGTTCCTGGGTGTATGCTCTCAGTGTCCTCACACCACCCCTTCTTCCCATGCTCCCCTCCCCCATAGACGGACCCGTTCCTGGGGATGATGATGGGCCTTGGAGGAGGCATGGACTTTGACTCCAAGAAGGCCTACAGGTGAGGCCCGGGCCCGGGCAGGTGGAGGGAGGGCGCCTGGGCACACTGACGGCAGAGCTCTGACTTCGCCCGCACCGCAGGGACGTGGCCTGGCTGGGGGACTGTGACCAGGGCTGCCTGGCCCTCGCTGATCTCCTTGGATGGAAGGTGAGGCGCTGCGCCACCCCTGCCCACCCTGAGCCCAGTTCCTAGACCCTACCCCTCCCTGCAGGTCCTCTGACCCCACAGTGCATGGTGACCTCTGACTTCTGTGAACTTTACCTCTGCAGAAGGAGCTGGAGGACCTTGTCCGGAAGGAGCATGCCAGAATAGATGCCCAGTCAGGATCGGGGGCCCCCAATCCCACCTCTTCAGCTTCCGCCAGCAAGACCCCACCACCGGCCAGGGAGGAGGCCAGGACCACAGAGGGAGAGAAACGCCAATGACAGCCCCAGGCTCGTCTGGACAGCCGAGCCCCAGCCAGCCCTGCCTCCTAACTTGCAGCTCTTGCCTGGAGAGCTCAGACCATCCCCCCAGTCCCCTAACCACTCCCTCCCAAAGCCGGGGTCCCCCCAACCACAGCAGATCTCTAACATCTAGGAACTGAGCCCGACTCTAACAGCCCACAATCTTGCTGCTCCCTGGGTAAGGAGCGACCTCCACTAATTTCTAACTATTTCCCGGGCCCATGGCCAAGCAGACCAGCTCTCCCCTGCCTTGACCCCCAACAGGGCTGTGGGCTCTGCTCATGTAACTTGCACCCAGTGCAGGGGCGGGGGCCTGGGCTCCCAGGTCTCTGTCTCTGCCTCCCAAAGTGGACACTGGGCCCTCTTCCCTTGGGACCCACCCCCATGTGGGATGGGTAGGTTTTGCTTATTGGAGACACATTAAAAACAAAACCAAAAACAACTAGTAATCTGCTGTCCCGCCTGGCTGTTTCTCTCTGTGGGTACCCAGGGAAGCTGCTGGGGAGGGGGTTGACCTTGGGCCACTAAAGAAACCAGGACAGCATTAGGCTCTCAAGAGAAATAGCCAGGGGTACAGAAAGGCGGGGCGAGCTCTTGGCTCTTCCTCCTGGACTTCAGACCTGCTGGGGTCCCTTTCTCCAAAGCCCAGTCACCTAAGGCCTGAGCCCCCGGAACTAGGGAGGAAGGTTGCTTTCAGATACCCCAGCCCCGCCTCTTCCCCTGCCGGCCCAGCTTCCTCTCTGCGAGGAACACTTTCACTTCCTGTACTCCAAGCCTCCCCTCCGAGAACAGGTAGGGCCCCCAGGGACTGAGCACCTGGCATCTTCACCCCACACTGCCTCCCTCGGGTAGCAGGCAGCTGCCCCCATCCAGCCCTGCCCTGCAGCCGCTCCCAGGGGACTGGGACCTGCACTGTCCCCCTCTCCCCATCTCCTGCTTCCTACTCTCCTCTGAGTGGGGCACCTGGCCCTGGCTCTCCTTTTTCCTAGCACCCTGGGCTTCTGCTCAATGGGCTGATTTGTTTGTTTAGCTGTTTGTTATCCACATTCTACACCCACCCCCAAATAAGACAGGAGGGCCCTAGAGTAGGGATCCGTCCTAGTCATCACCCACCCCCAGGGCACCAACACCTCATTCTCGGGTTGGAAAACATTGGATAGATGGGTGGATGGATGGATAAAAAATGGATGGCTCCTCCTTTTCCACACCTAGTATCTAACCCTGAAGATAACCAACCATAGGAGTCTGCGTGGGCTAAGAGAAGGTGATGGAGAGGCAGACGGATAGAGCTGTGGCAAAATGAAAAGGCCGTGGGCACATGGAAGTGCCCTGTAGAATTCTTTCAGCTTTTCTGTATGTTCTCTCTGTTTTTCACAATCGAATGGGGAGGAGTATAGCCAAGGGCCCCTCTGTGGTCTAGGAAGAGGATGAGGAGAGGTTGTATTACATTTGGACAAATGTATAGAGTGCCTGCCACGGTTGGGAACCTTTCCAGGCACTTGGTTTGCCCGGGCTGTTTTCAGCTGGCCCATATTCATATGGCTCCATCAATCGCTAAAATCTTTAAATACTCCTGGGCCAACAAGCAGGTGGCATGGTGGTTAAGGTACTGGATCCCACATGGCTGACTCTGCAGTTTGAGTCCCAGACCTGGAGGCTTGAAAAACACCTGGAGCGTGTGTGTGTGTGTGTGTGTGTGTGTGTGTGTGTGTGTGTATGTGTGGCCAAATCCTGAGAGGAGAGCGACCCAGTCATCCCCCTGGGAGGTGATTTCTCACTTTCCCTCTCTCTCTGTCTCTCTGGTGAGCACACATGCCCTGTGGCAAAAAAATCTAAAAGAAAAAAAAAAATCTTTGGAGCCGGGAGGTGGCGTACTGGTTCATGCAGCGGATTCCCACATGGCCATTCGCTGTTTGAGTCCTGGACCCAGCAGCTTGAAACTCACGCTGGGCACATGTGTGTGTGCATGCCCAAAATCCCGACGGGAGAATGGAGAAGGGATTGCAGCATAGCCAACCCCCCCAGGGGGGTTGATTTCTCGCTTTCTCTCTGTCTCTGTCTCTTTGATGAACCCATGCGCCCTATGGCAAAAATATTTCTCAAGAAAGAACAAAAAACTTTAAATACTCCCTACTGCTCGGTATATAGCCATTGTGCTGAGCCCTCTCCCTCCATCCCAAAACCCACCGGCATCTCTCACAGGACCCCCAGATTGCCCACAACCCATCAATTAAAGAACTAACCCTGGCATAGCAAGAGGCCTTTGGGGTCCATTTCGATTGGTCGAGGTCCCTTCCATATTGGTGGTATTTTGAATATTACTCCTGGGCAGGAGCAGCCTTGAGTTTGTTTGTTTTATAATTTAATCACAACCTTACAGATGCTTTCAAACACATCAAAAGCACTCCTAAGAGACAAGTCTACAGCAATTAGCACTCACACACACACTTTTTTTTTTTTTGGTGAAGTTTTTGCTATAGGGCGCATGCGCTTGCCAGACAGAAACACAGAGACAGAAAGCGAGAAATCACCCCCCAGGGGGGATGGTCATGCCGCAATTCCTTCTCCTCCATTCTCCTCTCGGGATCTTGGGCACGCACACACATGTGCCCAGCGTGAGTTTATGCTACTGGGTCCGGGACGCGAACCGTGGTCAACTATGTGGGAGTCCAGTGACATAGCCATTACGCTAACTGCTGGCCCCCAGTTTGTTTGTTTGTTTTGAGAGGTTTTTGCTATAGGGCGCATGCGCTCACCAGAAAGACAGAGACAGAGAAACAGAAAGTGAGAAATCACCCCCCAGGGGGGATGGCCACATCGCAATCCCTTCTCCTCCATTCTCTTCTCGGGATCTTGGGCACGCACGCACATGTGCCCAGCGTGAGTTTAAGTCACCAGGTCTGGGACTCGAACTGTGGTCGACTACATGGAAGTCCAGTGACATAGCCATTACGTCACCCGCTGGTCCCGAGCAGCTTGAGTTTTACCTTTCTCCCTTCCAGAGGCCAGACCATGGCTCATGGGCTTCCCACATCCTGAGGATGGCACAGATAGAGGACAACGGCCTTGCAGCCCCTACCGAGGGGCAGAGGTGAGAGCTGCTGGAACTGCAGTTTCTATCTCCTGCTCCTAAATCCAGAAACCCCTCCCACCCAATGCCAACCCACCCCAGGACCCTGAAACCCATCTCTGACCCTTTGTCCCTAATCTGCCTCTTTGTGCCCCACTGACCCCTCTGCCCTAGTGTCCAACTGCTCACCTCTGACCTTTAACCTCCTGGACCATGTACATCCCAGGCTGACCCCATCTCAGGCAAATGGAACAGGCGAGACTCCCCTCAGGGTCCTCAGCACCCCAGAGGCACTTCTTCGCCTGTGGAGGACATGTGGGGTGTGGCAGGTTCCAGAGCTGGATCCTCAGGGCGCAGAGGCACTGGTGGAGCTGTGGCCCCTGGGGGTGAGTACTCATACCTGGGGACCTGTTCTGACCCTCCCCTAACTCCCTGTATCAGCCAGGACCCTGGTGGTGGCTAGTGACACACAAAACACAAACCAACAAACCAAAAAGGCTATTGAGTGATTCACATAACTGAAAAACTCAGAAATAAAAGTCGTTTCCAGAAGGCACGGATCCCGAGTGTCAGACAACCTCAGAATTCCTCTTTATCCCACTTCTCGACTCTGCTTTTATCTACGGGGAATTCTGTCTGTTTAGGGCCTGCAGGTAATAAGCGCTAGTTCCATGGTGTTTTATAGTGGCTTAAGAAAATAAGGCAGCCGGCAGGTGGCTTGCTGGCTAAGGGCACTGGACTCCCACATGGCCGACCGCGGTTCGAGCTTCAGACCTGGTGGCTTGCTTTCTCACTTTCACTTTCTCTCTCTCTCACTCTCACTCTGTTCCTCTCTAGTCAAATTAAAAGAAATAAATAAATTCTGGGACCAGCAGTTGTCATAATGGCTATGTCGCTGGACTCCCATGTAGCCAACCATGGTTCGAGTCCCGGACCTGGTGGCTTAAACTCACGCTGGGCGTGTGTGCGTGCGTGCCTAAGATCCTGAGAGGAGAACGGAGGAGAAGGGATTGCGGCATGGCCGTCCCCCCTGGGGGGTGATTTCTCGCTTTCTGTCTCTCTTTCTGGCAAGCACATGAGCCCTATAGCAAAAACCTCTCAAAAAAAAAAAAAAAAGAAAAAGAAAGAAAGAAAGAAAGAAAGAAAGAAAGAAAGAAAGAAAGAAAGAAAACAGGCACTTCTTTTCCTGACCCAATCGGAAAGGCAACTGTTGGCTCCGGTTTGGCGGCTCAGTGCCATCAAGCCAGCCTCTTTATGGTTCCCTTGGACTTGTCTCATCGTTGCCCTGAGGCTGCCCCACAGGCTAAGCCCGTATGAGCATTCCAGACAGGAAAAAAGAAGACACTGGCTGCATCTGTGTCTTCTTATTTTTTAAAAAATACATCTTTTAAAAACTTTTTAAAATAATTATTTATTTAATTGTATTATTATTTCTTAATTTGCTATAGGGCATGCACGCTCACCAGAAAGAAACAGAGACAGAGGGAGGGAAAGTAAGAAAGCAAGCCACCCAGTCTAGGACTCGAACTATGGTTGGCCATGTGGCTACCACGCCACCTGCTGGCCCCTCATAAACTTTTTTTATTTCTTCCAAGAAAAAGAGAGAGGAAGGGAGAGAAGAGAGATAGAGACAGAAGGGGAACCAGCAGTTGGTGTAATGGCTATGTCGCTGGACTCCCATGTAGTCGACCCTTGTTCAAGTCCTGGACCCGGTGGCTTAAACTCATGCCGGGCATATGTACGTGCATGCCCAAGATCCCAGGAGGAGAAGGGATGGCCCCCATCCCCACTGGGGGGGTGATTTCTTGCTTTCTGTCTGTTTTTCTGGCTAGCGCACATGTCCTATAGCAAAAACCTCTCAAGAAAGAGACAGAGAGATAGGCATCCCTAACAGGGTCTCTAGGCCACGATCCACCCCAAGGGTCAGTTGGCCAGGGTCATAGGTACATGCATGTGCTCCCAGAGTGCTTAAGAAGGTCCTGGGACTCAAACCCAGGACGTTTCCCTCAGGATCCAGTTACTCTCCTGTTGCACCACTGCCTGTGCCTCTTTTAAAGTTTATCATTTCCATGAGTGAGCAAGAGAGAGAAAGAGCACTCCCAACAAGATCTTTTTTTTTTTTTTGGAGAGGTTTTTGCTATAGGGCGCGTGCGCTCACCAGACAGACAGAGAGAGACATAGAGACAGAAAGCGAGAAATCACCCCCCAGGGGGGATGGTCATGCCGCAATCCCTTCTCCTCCATTCTCCTCTCGGGATCTTGGGCACGCACGCACACGCGCCCGGCGTGAGTTTTAAGCCACCGGGTCCGGGACACGAACTGCGGTCCCTGGGAGTCCAGCAACATAGCCATTACGCTAACTGCTGGTTCCCCCCAACAAGATCTTGATGCCATGACCTACCTCTAGCCTCAGCCAGCCCTGGATCATGGGCAAACACGTGCCTGGCCTACTCAGGGAGGTTTCTGGATGTGAACCAGGAACCGCTTCTACGGGTCGACCTTGCAGTGTCATGTTTTACTGCTGGGCCATCTGTTTCTTTCGCTGGAAAAAGCAAAAGCCTTCACAGCTGATTGAGAACATGTGGATGGGCCAGCTAGCAATATTTTTAAAAGCTGGCCTGGGAGTTCTACAACCAGGACTGAAAATCACAGCCTGAATTAGTGATTATCCATGTCCTACGGCTGGGCATATTAACACCTTGAACAAGGAGCTCTACAAGGAATGGGGATAGATCCGGTGAGGACAACTCACAGGGCCTACCCTAGCTTTCTCCTCATGAGGGCGATGTCCTTGTGGCGACAAAGATGGCTGTCCTAGCTCAGGGCTAAATCTCACCAGCTTAGTAACTCCAGTGAAAAAGAGGCCTTTTTGGGGCCAGCAGGTGGTGTGGTGGTTAAGGTGCTCGACTCCCACATGGCAGAATTCAGTTCAAGTCCCAAACCTGACAGCTTGCTTTCGCTCTCTCTCTCTCTCTCTCTCTCTCTCATGTGCCCTATAGCAAATTTAAAAAACAAAAATATAATAATAACTGAAATAATTATTTTAAAAAATAACTTTAAATTATTTTTTTAATTGGATCAGAGAGCGAGAGAGGAAAGTGGAAAAGCAAGTCACCAGGTCTGGAACATGACTTGAACCATAGCCATGTGGGAGTCCAGCTTAACCAGCATCCTACCTGCTGGTTCCTAAATAAATTATTAAAAAATAAAAAAAAGATAAAGAGATTTTTTGGCCTATCACAGGGGTGCAAGCCACATGGGGAGGTCCCCATTTGACCTCCCTAGGTTTCTCTGTACACACCCGGTGCATGCATGTCTGTGATCCTGGCTGGCTCAGGCTGGGGATAAATCAGAGCATGAGGCCCCTGTTGGGAGTTAAAATTAAGAAATAAAATTGTAAAACTTTTGGGGGCCAGCAGGTGGCATGGTGGTTAAAGTGCTAGACTTCCACATGGCCAACTGCAGTTCAAGTCCCAGACTGGTGGCTGGAAAATCATGCCATGTGTGTGTATGTGTGTGCCCAAAATCCCAAGAGGAGAATGGGAGAGAAGGGATTGTGGCATGGCCATTTTCCCCCCCCCCAGAGGTGATTTCTCACTTTCACTCTCTTTGTCTCTCTTTGTCACTCTTTGGTAAGTACACATGCCCTATGATAAAAACCTTTTTAAAAAAAATCTTTTGGGACCAACAGTTAGCGTAATGACTATGTCGCTGGACTCCAACGTAGTCGACCGCGGTTCAAGTCCCGGACCCAGTGGCTTAAACTCACGCCGGGTGCATGTGTGTACGTGCCCAGAATCCTGAGAGGAGAATGAAGGAGAAGGGATTGTGGCGTGGCCATCCCCCCTGGGGGGCAATTTCTTGCTTTCTGTCTCTCTGTCTCTGTCTGGCGAGCGCACACGCCCTATAGCATAAAAACTCTCTAAAAAGAAAAAAAAAATCTTTTTAGGGGCCAGCAGTTAGTGTAATGGCTATGTCGCTGGACTCCATGTAGTTGACTGCAGTTCAAGTCCCGGACCTGGTGGCTTAAACTCATGCCGGGCACGTGTACATGTGTGCCCAAGATGCCAAGAGGAGAATGGAGGAGAAGGGATTGCAGTGTTGCCATCCTCCCGGGGGTGGGGTGGTGGGGTGGTGATTTCTCGCTTTCTAACTCTCTATGTCTTTCTGTCTTTCTGGCGAGCACACATGCCCTATAGCAAAAACCTCTAAAAAAAATATTAAAAAAAACTTTTTAAAATAATTTTTCATCTAACTGTTTATTTATTTACTTAAAGCAAGTCACCAGGTCTGGGACTTGAACCGTGATTGACCATGTGGGAGTCCAGCACCCTTAGCCACCATGCCACCTCCTGGCCCCTATTTATTTATTTTAATTTGGCCAGAGAGGGATAGAGCAAGAGAGAGAGACAGAGAGAGAGGAAAATGAGAAAGAAAGCCACCAGATCTGGGACTCGAACTGCGATCTGCCATGTGGGAGTCCAGCACCCTTAACTACCACTGCCACCTGCCAGCCCCCAAAAAACTTTTTAAAAAAGAGATACATTTTTAAAACTTTTAATAAAGAGAAAGAGACCTCCTTCCAGCAAGCTCTAGGGTAAGTCCGGTGGAAGATGTTCATTGGCTGAGCTTGGGTCACATGCCTCTCCTTGAACCAAACAATGGACAGAGAGCCATCAGTCTATTGGCTAGGTCAGGTCATAGGCCCACCCACTAAGGCTTGGGGGAGTCAGTCCCACCCACATGGACTGAGTAGGGAGAAGATTTACCTAAAGAAAATTTGGGGTGTGGTACCCAAAATAAGGGAAATGGATATTAGGCAGGCAAAAGTAACACATTCTTCCTTCAAGCTGACCTTTGTCTCTACCCTCCAGAGTTTCCTGGTCATAGGACATGACCCCAGGCAGGTCCTGGTGTTGAAGACGGGCCCTTCAGTGGGAGAAGTCAACACCTACCAGATCCAGAAGTTTCCTGGAGGTGAGACACCTCCCTTGAGTTTCCAGTCCCCAGCAAATTATCATCAGGAACTGTCTTTTTTTTTTTGGAGAGGTTTTTGCTATAGGGCCTGTGAGCTCACCAGAGAGACAGAGAGACAGAAAGCGAGAAATCACCCCAGGGGGGGAAGGCCATGCGGCAATCCCTTCTCCTCCATTCTCCTCTCGGGATCTTGGGCACATACTCACACGTGCTTGGCGTGAGTTTTAAGCCAAGTGACATAGCCATTACGCTAACTGCTGGTTCCCTCGGCTTTACTTCTAACATGTCTCCTAAGCCTTCCCAATCCTCTCCACCTCCATCACCTTAGTCCGAATCGCCGTCTCCTCTTGCCAAATAATTTTAGTAGCCTCCTCTGTGGTCTCCCTGCTCCTATCCTTTCCTCCCTGCAATCCATTCTGAGCTCAGCAGCTGGAGGGGTATTTTTTCTTTTTTTCTTTCTTTCTTTTTTTTTTTTTTCTTTTTTTGCCAGAGGGCCTTGTGCACTTGCCAGAAAAAAAGAGAGAGAGAGAGAGAACTCCCCAATGGGGCATAGTTGCACTGCAATCCTGTCTTTTTGTTTGTTTGTTTGTTTTTGTTTTTTTGAGAGGTTTTGCTATAGGGCGCGTGTGCTCGCCAGAAAGACAGAGAGTCAGAGAGACAGAAAGCGAAAAATCACCCCCCAGCGGGGATGGCCACGCCAGAATCCCTCCGTTCTCCTCTCGGGATCTTGGGCACACACGCACACGCGCCCTGTGTGAGTTTTAAGCCATCAGGTCCGGGACGCGAACCGTGGTCGACTACATGGGAGTCCAGCGACATAGCCATTACACTAACTGCTGGTCCCAATCCTGTCTCTTTTTTTTTTCATCCTGTCAGGATTTTGAACATGCATGAACACATGTCTGATATGTTTTGTGTGTGTGTATTTTTTCTTGGAGAAGGTTTTTGGTATAGGGTGCGTGCACTCACCAGAAAGACAGAGACAGAGAGACAGAAAGTGAAAAATCACCCCCCCCCCCCCAGTGGGGATGGCCACACCGCAATCCCTTCTCCTCCATTCTCCTCTCAGGATCTTGGGCACGCACTCACATGTGCCAGGCGTGAGTTTAACCGCCGGGTCCAGGACTTGAACCGTAGTCGACTACATGGGAGCCCAGCGACATAGCCATTACGCTAACTGCTGGCCCCTGTTTTGTGTGTTTTTCAAACTGCTGGCGCCAGGATCCAAACCATAGTTGGCCATGTAGATCCAGCTCCGTTACTAGGTCATGGAGACAGCCCCAGGGGGGTATTTTCTTTTTCTTTTAATTTCTTTTTATTTATTTATTTTATTTTTTTTGGGGGGGGGAGAGGTTTTTGCTACAGGGCGCTTGCGCTCACCAGACAGAAAGAGAGAGACAGAGAGACAGAAAGCGAAAAATCACTCCCCAGGGGGGATGGCCACGCTGCAATCCCTTCTCCTCCGTTCTCCTCTCCGGATCATGGACACGCATTCACACGCACTTGGCATGAGTTTAAGCCACGAGGTCTGGGACTTGAACCGCGGTAGACTCTGTGGGAGTCCAGCGACATAGCCATTATGCTAACTGCTGGTTCCATTTATTTTAAGTGGACCAGAGAGAGACAGAGAGAGAAAGAAAGTGAGAAAGCAAACCACCAGTCCGGGACTCGAACCGTGGTCAGCCATGTGGGAGTGTCCAACACTTTAACCACCACACCTCCTGATGGTCTCCAGGGGGATATTTTCAACATTGACTAGATGCTTTATGGCCCTGCAGCAAACCCTGCAGAAAATATGCAACATCTTTAAATGAAAATCTAAATTTATGAAACTAGACGGTGGCACAGTGATGAAATACGATGCTTTGGGACCAGCAGATGATGTAATGGTTATGTTGGTGAACTCCCACCAAGTTGACCACGGATCAAGTCCCAGACCTAGCCCCTTAAAACTCATACTGGGCACATGTGCATGTGTGCCCAAAATCCCAAAAGGAGAATGGAGGAGAAGGGATTGCAGCATGGCCATCCCCCCAGGGGGTGATTTCTTGCTTTCTGTCTCTCTCTGTATCTCCCGCAAGTGCAGGCACTCTATAGCAAAAATCTCTCAACAACAACAATGAAAAAAACAACAAACCTCACACAGGGGAACCAGCAGATGGTGTAATGGTTACATAACAAGACTCCACATAGTCAACTGCAATTTGAGTCCCTGACTCGGCGGCTTAAAACTCACACCGGGTGCGTGTGTGCATGCTCAAACTCCCAAGAGGAGAACGGATTATGGCATGACCATCCCCCTGGGGAGTGATCTCTCACTTTCTGTCTCTCTGGCAAGTGCACACACCCTATAGCAAAAAACCTCTCTCTAAAAAAAGAAAATTCACACCACGCACATGTGCGTGTGTGCCCAAAATTTGGAGAATGGAGAAGAAATTGAGGCATGACCGCTTCCCCTGGGGGGTGATTTCTCACTGTCTGTCTTTCTGTCTCTGTTTCTCTGGTGAGCACACATCTCTATAGTAAAATCTCTCTTAAACAAAAACAAACAAACAAAAAACCAACAGTGATGCTTTGTGAGGCAATCCCACATGGGAAGGTTCCTGGTTCAAGTCCAGAAACCTCCCTATGTACACCAGCAATGTACTTGCCCATGATCTGAGGCTGGCTGGAGGCCAGGGCAGGATCATCAGGATCCTGCTGGGGCGCTGTCTCTCTTTCATTCTCTCTCTCAGGGAAGAAATAAACGAATTGTTTACAAAAACCTAGTCTCCATCATGGCCTCGACGGTACTACGTGACCTAGCCCCTGCCGGTCCCTCCATCACTCTACTCTAGTCACACTGTTCTCGTCCCTGTTCTTGGACGTGCTAAGTGTGTTCCAGCGCCAGGACCTCTGCTTTAGTCCTGCCTAGACAAGCGCTTTTCCTTGACCATGTCCCCAGTACCTAGAAATGAATAGCTGCTCAGGACCAGCAGTTAGCATAATGACTATGTCTCTGGACTCCCATGTAGTCAACTGCGGTTCGAGTCCCGGACCCAGTGGCTTAAACTCACCCCGGGTGCATGTGTATGCATGCCCAAGATCCTGAGAGGAGTATGGAGGAGAAGACCCTGCGGTGTGGTCCCCTGGGGAGTGATTTCTTGCTTTCTGTCGTTCTGGTGAGCATACACGCCCTATAGATAAAAAGAAATGAATAGATGCTCAATAACTATTTCTCAGATGAATTGATCCTATTTGGTGGTATAAGCACAATGTAAGAGTAAAGATAAAAATGGAGACTTCTGGACCAGCAGTTGGCATAGTGGCTACGTTGCTGGACTCCCATGTGGTTGATCATGGTTCGATTCCCGCATCTGGTGGCTTAAACTCAAGTTGGGTGCGTGTACGTGCATGGCCAAGGTCCTGAGAGGAGAATGGAGGAGAAGGGATTGTGGCATGGCCATCCCTCCTGGGGAGAGGGGGGTGTGATTTCTCGCTTTCTGGCTGTCTCTTTCTTTCAAGAGAGTGCCCACGTCCTATAGCAAAAACCTCTCTCAAAAAAAAAAAAAAATGGAGACTTCAAGGTAGAAATTTCTCTGTTCTGGAGGTCTCTAGAAGATTGTAGAAACAGGAATTGAGAGTACCAGCGAGAAGGGGCTTCCACCTCTCAGAGTGTCCTCCTTATCCCTCCTTGCCTCCTCCACCCAGGTGTGTCTCTGGAATCCTCTAATCTCTGCATGCCTGACCTGCCCCATCTCCTGGCCTTCCTGTCAGCTAGCAGGTACGGGTCACCCATCAAAGGGGCTCAGGGGATCCTTCCCTAAGACACCCCACATACATTCTGGTTCCCTTTATCTTTTGTCAGAGATGTTCTGCCCAGAACGCTGCTCTTGCCCCCTCCCACTCTCCGACAGGGTGATGAGCACTCAGGTAAGGCGCGTTTCCCCAGGGGAGGGGAGGCCAACCTCTAGCCTCCTGTTGCTGGGGAACAGGACCTGGGAGACCAGACACTGGGTTTGAGGGAGGAGAGGGCTAGGGGTCGGAGAGGGCTGAGGACCTAGAACTTTGAGGTCCCTGAGCCAAGAGAGAAAGGGAACCTGAACTTCTGGGTCCTAACAGAGGAAAGGAGGCCTGAGTAGGGAGAGGCCAGGGACCAACCGTCAGCACCTCCAGTAATGGGGTTGCAAACCAAGTCCCCTGCGGCCTCCAAGGGCCTGCAGCAGGCCCATGAGCACCTGGGACACCTTCTCCCTTCCTGTGGCCCCCAGGCCCTCTGCAGATTAACAGGGTACAGCTGGACCCCTCAGGGGGGGTGCTCTCAGTGGTCAACCAGCTCTACCTGGAGACCCACAGAGACTGGGAGATGGAGCAGACCCCTCAAGAGAAGGAGCCAGAGACGGCCCAGGGACTCAGTCCAGGTGAGCCGGGGGGTTGGAGAGGCTAGCTCTGAGGGAGGACCTAGCTGCTGCTGCTGTCCCTTGGGACCCAACCTCCTCTTCACATCCAGCCCCCAGGAACCCCATCCCACACAGGGTGTCCTGGGTGGAAGGCCCACTCAGCCCAGAAGTGTGCAGAGCTGGGCCAGCCCTGACCAGCGTGGTGGAGGAGCAGGAGGAGGACGTGGACTACAAAGAGGAGGAGGGCCCTGAGGATGTCCTCACTGCTCACGTCCGGGCTCTGGTCAGGGCCCGCAGCAGCTACGTGGCCAAGCAGTACCGAGGCCTTCGGGCTCGCCTCACCTCAGAATCCGGAAGTCCCCACAGGCCGGGGGACCCCGCCACAGAGCTGCTGCAGGATGTGCGACAGCTCCTGATGGACCTCCAGGATCACCTGGCAAAGGACCCTGACGTCAGGGCTGTCTTTGGTAGCAAGGGGCCTGGGGTCCCCCAGAAGGACGAGGATCTTGGTAACAGAAGCACCGGAATCCCACGGGTTCTGGGGTGCCATCACTTGTCTTAGGGAGTGCCCACATCCAACTTCTTTCTGTCGGCGTGCACACCTGTTTCCTTTTCCGTTCACACCCCTTTCCTCCACGTGGGAACACCTGCTCTCCACGTGCCCTGTGTCACACGTGTGACAGCCATGCTCCCTGCCCCACGCGCGTGTTCTGATCCATGTCTGCACTTGTGGGTGGCATCTGCCAGGGAGGGTCGGTGGCGCGCGTGGGAGGGCGTGGGTCAGCTTGGCAGCCCTGTCCTCACCCGCCCCCCAACGCCACAGGCCCAGCGGTGGAGGAGGCCGTGTGCCGAGCGGTCCTGGCGCCCCTGAAGCCTGCCCTGTGGAGGCGGCTCCGCACGTTGCGCGCCCAGGAGCTGCGACGACTCCGGCGGAGACAAATAGCCCTGCGGGCGGAGGCGGGGCCTCCGGGAGCTCAGGGGGCGGAGCCTGAGGGACAAAGCCCCGCCCCCGCCCTGCGGAGCCGCATCCACGCGCGTCTTGCCAACCTCCACGCCGCCTGCGCCCCGCGCCGCAAGATTGCTCTCCTGCTGGCGGTTTGCAGTGACGTCTACGCGGGCCTGGTTTCTGGCGAGAACCAAGGTAAAGGAAGGTCGGCATCTGCCTGGATGTGTTATGGCTTGAGGGTTGGGGGTTATCAGGCAGCTGGCGCCTCTGCGCAGGTGGAGGAGAGGGTAGCGCGTGCTAGTGGCGGGCGTTAACGTGGGCGTTCTGGCAGGAGGCGTTTGAATCCCAACAAGGTGATGTCGCGATCCTGCGGGTGGGCTGGAAGGTGTCTCCGGG